AGTCCCAATAGTTCATTTTTGCCCTTGCTTCCCTTGCCTTTGGCGATGTTTCTAGGAACAAGTTGCTGCAGCTGAGGTCGAAGAGTTGCTGTTTGTGTTCTCCTCAAGGATTTTGATGGATTCCTGTCTCACATTTAGGTCTTTCAACCATTTTGAGTCTATTTTTGTGTGTGGTGTAAGGAAATGGTCCAGTTTCATTCTTCTGCATGTGGCTGTCCAATTTTCCCAACACCATTTGTTGAAGAGACTGTCTTTTTTCCATTGGACATTCTTTCCTGCTTTGTCAAAGAGTAGTTGACCATAGAGTTGAGGGTCCATTTCTGGGCTCTCTATTCTGTTCCATTGATCTATGTGTCTTTTTATGCCAGTACCATACTGTCTTGAAGATGACAGCTTTGTAATAGAGCTGGAAGTCCGGAATTGTGATGCCGCCAGCTTTGCTTTTCTTTTTCAACCTTCCTCTGGCTATTCGGGGTCTTTTCTGGTTCCATACAAATTTTAGGATTATTTGTTCCATTTCTTTGAAAAAAGTGGATGGTATTTTGATGGGGATTGCATTGAATGTGTAGATTGCTCTAGGTAGCATTGACATCTTCACAATATTTGTTCTTCCAATCCATGAGCATGGAACGTTTTTCCATTTCTTTGTGTCTTCCTCAATTTCTTTTATGAGTATTTTATAGTTTTCTGAGTACAGATTCTTTGCCTCTTTGGTTAGATTTATTCCCAGGTATCTTATGGTTTGGGGTGCAATTGTAAATGGGATCGACTCCTTAATTTCTCTTTCTTCTGTTTTGTTGTTGGTGTATAGGAATGCCACTGATTTCTGCGCATTGATTTTATATCTTGCCACTTTACTGAATTCCTGTATGAGTTCTAGCAGTTTTGGGGTGGAGTCTTTTGGGTTTTCCACGTAAAGTATCATATCATCTGCAAAGAGTGAGAGTTTAATTTCTTCTTTGCCGATTTGGATGCCTTTGATTTCTTTTTGTTGTCTGATTGCTGTGGCTAGGACTTCTAATACTATGTTGAATAGCAGTGGTGATAGTGGACATCCCTGCCACGTTCCTGACCTTAGGGGGAAAGCTCTTAGTTTTTCCCCATTGAGAATGATATTCGCTGTAGGTTTTTCATAGATGGCTTTTATGATATTGAGGTATGTACCCTCGATCCCTATACTCTGAAGAGTTTTGATCAAGAAAGGATGCTGTACTTTGTCAAATGCTTTTTCTGCATCTATTGAGAGGATCATATGATTCTTGTTCTTTCTTTTGTTAATGTATTGTATCACGTTGATTGATTTGTGGATGTTGAACCAAACTTGCAGCCCAGGGATAAACCCCACTTGGTCATGGTGAATAATCCTTTTAATGTACTGTTGGATCCTATTGGCTAGTATTTTGGTGAGAATTTTTGCATCCATGTTCATCAAGGATATTGGTCTGTAATTCTCCTTTTTTGATGGGGTCTTTGTCTGGTTTGGGGATCAAGGTAATGGTGGCCTCATAAAACGAGTTTGGAAGTTTTCCTTCCATTTCTATTTTTTGGAACAGTTTCAGAAGAATAGGTATTAATTCTTCTTGAAATGTTTGGTAGAATTCCCCTGGGAAGCCATCTGGCCCTGGGCTCTTGTTTGTTGAGAGAATTTTGATGACTGCTTCAATTTCCTTAGTGGTTATAGGTCTGTTCAGGTTTTCTATTTCTTCCTTGGTTCAGTTTTGGTAGTTGATACATCTCTAGGAATGCATCCATTTCTTCCAAGTTATCTAATTTGCTGCCATAGAGTTGCTCATAATATGTTCTTATGATTGTTTCTATTTCTTTGGTGTTGGTTGTGATCTCTCCTCTTTCATTCATGATTTTGTTGATTTGGGTCATTTCTCTTTTCTTTTTGATAAGTCTGGCCAGGGGTTTATCAATCTTATTAATTCTTTCAAAGAACCAGCTCCTAGTTTTGTTGATCTGTTCTACTGTTCTTTTGGTTTCTATTTCATTGATTTCTGCTCTGCTCTTTATTATTTCTCTTCTCCTGCTGGGTTTAGGCTTTATTTGCTGTTCTTTCTCCAGCTCCTTTAGGTGTAGGGTTAGGTTGTGTACTTGAGACCTTTCTGGTTTCTTGAGAAAGACTTGTATTGCTATATATTTGCCTCTTAGGGCTGCTTTTGCTGCATCCCAAAGATTTTGAACAGTTGTGTTTTCATTTTCATTGGTTTCCATGAATTTTTTAAATTCTTCTTTAATTTCCTGGTTGACCCATTCATTGTTTAGTAGTATGCTTTTTAGCCTCCATGTATTTGAGTTCTTTCCAACATTCCTCTTGTGATTGAGTTCTAGTTTCAAAGCATTGTGGTCTGAAAATAGGCAGGGAATGATCCCAATCTTTTGGTACTGGTTGAGACCTGATTTATGACCTAGGATGTGATCGATTCTGGAGAATGTTCCACGTGCACTAGAGAAGAATGTGTATTCTGTTGCTTTGGGATGGAATGTTCTGAATATGTCTGTGAAGTCCATTTGTTCTAGTGTGTCATTTAAAGTCTTTACTTCCTTGTTGATATTTTGCTTAGATGATCTGTCCATTTCAGTGAGGGGGATGTTAAAGTCCCCCACTATTATTGTATTGTTGTCGATGTGTTTCTTTGCATTTGTTATTAATTGCCTTATATAATTGGCTGCTCCCATGTTAGGGGCATAGATCTTCTATGTTGGATAGACCCTTTTGTTAAATCTTCTTGTTAGATTGTTAGATCTACAATTGTTAGATCTTCTTGTTGGATAGACCCTTTAAGTAGGATATAGTGTCCTTCCTCATCTCTTATTACAGTCTTTCGTTTAAAATCTAATTTGTCTGATATAAGGGTTTCCACCCCAGCTTTCTTTTGGTGTGTATTCGCATGGTAAATAGTTTTCCACCCCCTTACTTTCAATCTGGGGGTGTCTTTGGGTCTAAAATGAGTCTCTTGCAGACAGCATATCGATGGGTCTTGTTTTTTTTATCCAATCTGATAGCCTGTGTCTTTTGACTGGGGCATTTAGCCCGTTTACATTCAGGGTAACTATTGAAAGATATGAATTTAGTGCCATTGTATTGCCTGTAAGGTGACTGTTACTGTATATTGTCTGTGTTCCTTTCTGGTCTATGTTGCTTTTAGGCTCTCTCTTTGCTTAGAGGACCCCTTCCAATATTTCTTGTACAGCTGGTTTCATGTTTGCAAATTCCTTTAGTTTTTGTTTGTCCTGGAAGCTTTTTATCTCTCCTCTATTTTCAATGACAGCCTAGCTGGATATAGTATTCTTGGCTGCATATTTTTCTCATTTAGTGCTCTGAATATATCTTGCCAGTCCTTTCTGGCCTGCCAGGTCTCTGTAGATAGGTCTGTTGCCAATCTAATGTTTCTACCATTGTAGGTTACATATCTCTTCTCCTGAGCTGCTTTCAGGATTTTCTCTTTGTCTCTGAGACTTGTAAGTTTTACTATTAGATGTCGGCGTGTTGACCTATTTTTATTGATTTTGAGAGGGGTTCTCTGTGCCTCCTGGATTTTGATGCCTGTTTCCTTCCCCAAATTAGGGAAGTTCTCTGCTATAGTTTGCTCCAATATACCTTCTGCACCTCTCTCTCTCTCTTCTTCCTCTGGGATCCCAATTATTTTAATGTTGTTTCGTCTTATGGTATCTCTTAGCTCTTGAATTCTGCCCTTGTGATCCCGTACTTGTTTATCTCTCTTTTTCTCAGCTTCTTTATGTTCCATCATTTTGTCTTCTATATCACTGATTCTTCTGCCTCATTTATCTGAGCAGTTAGCGCCCCCTTTTTTGATTGCACCTCATTAATAGCCTTTTTGATTTTGACTTGGTTAGATTTTAGTTCTTTTATTTCTCCAGAAAGCGTTTCTCTAATAACTTCCACGCTTTTTTCAAGCCCAGCTAGTATCTTTAAAGTGATGATTCTGAACTCTAGATCCAACATCGTACTAATGTCTGTATTGAGTAGGTCCCTGGCAGTCGGTACTACCTCTTGTTCTTTTTGTTGAGGTGATTTTTTCTGTCTTGTCATTTTTTCCAGAGGAGAATAGATGAATGAGAGAACAAAATGCTAACAGGGTAACAACATCCCCAGAAAATATACTCTAAACAAATCAGAAAAGACCTGAAGCCGGGGAAAAAAGAAAGGGAAAGAAAGAAAAAAGAAAAAGATTTAAAAAAAGAACAAAACAAAACAAAAAAAACAGAATATGATCAAATATGATCAGGCTGGTGCATAGATCAGTGCCACACACTAGATTTTGGGTGTATTTTGGTCTGTTAGAAGATAGTGCCTCCTAAAATTTTAAAGAAGAAAAACTTATATATGTACAAAAAGAAGGGTTGATATGATAAAGGGATGGAATATGACTGTAAAGATGAAAATTATAAAAAAATTTATAAAAGGAATTGATAAGAAGTTTTTTGAAAAAAGAAAATAGGATTTAAAAAAAAAAGAAAAAAAAAGGGAGAGAATGTGATCAGGCAGGAGAGTAGAACAAAACCATACACTAGAGATTTAGGGTATATTTTGATCTGGTAGAAGAAACTATCTCAAAATTTTAAAGAGAGAACAACTTATATATATGCCAAAAATAAGGGTAACTACTATGAAGGGATAGAATATGACTCTAAAAATGAAAAATAAAAATGTTTTTTAAAAAAGGGATTGATAAGATGTTGATTGAAAAAGGGAAAAAGAAAAATTCAAAAAAAAAGACAGTTAAAAAAATTAACTTTGAAAGACTAAAGAATCATGGTAAAAAAACCCATGAATTCTATGTGCATTATTCCCCTAGCGCTGGAGTTCTGCCGCTCTCATTGATGGGTAAACTTGGTCTTGGCGGGCTGTTCTCGCTGATCTTCTGGGGGAGGGGCCTGTTGCCGTGGTTCCCAAATGTCTTTGCTGGAGGTGGAAGGAAGTGCCCCACCCTTGCCCAGTCCCAGCTAAGTAATCTGCTTGGGTTTGCTCTCAGGAACTTTTGTTCCCTGCAAGCTTTCCGTTCAGCTTTGGAGGCGGAGAGTGAAAATGGCGGCCTCCCAATCTCTGCCCCGGAGGAGCCGAGAACTCGGGCCCGCTCCTCAGTGAGCCCCCAGAGAAAAGCCGTCAGTCACTCCCGTCTCCCCGGTCTCCAGCCGCACTCCGTGCTCACCCAGCCTGTGACCGCACGTTTCTATCTCTGGCACCCGACCCCAGGTGGAGTCTCCAAACCCAGCCAATCCCTGCGGTGCACTCCCGCACGGCTCCTCCCGGGGGAGGAAGGTGAGTCTCCCCGGATGTGCCATTTGTTGGGTCCCTGCTGGAGGAGCAGTGGCCCGACTGTGCTGCGGATCACGGTTTATGGCAACCCCAAGCTGAGAGCCCGCACCTGGGCTCCGCCTCTGCAGCCGGCTTCCCTGCTCCGATACCTGGGAGCTCTGTTGCACTCAGGCACCCCCGGTCTTTCTGTGACCCCAAGGGTCCCGAGACCACACTGTCCCACGAGGGTTTCACCCCCCGCTTAGCCACCGGAGTGACGTCCCTCAGCGGAGCCGACTTCTAAAAGTTCCGATTTTGTGCTCCACGGCTCTATCACTCACCCGTAGTGGCTGACAGAGGCCCCCTCCCCCGCCATCTATCCTCCCAAATATCGCCTCAGATTCACTTCTCCACATCTCCTACCTTCCAGAAAGTGGTCGCTTTTCTGTTCAGAGAGTTGCTGCTATTCTTTTCTTCGATCTCCTGTTGAGTTCGTAGGTGTTCAGAATGGTTTGATCCCTATCCAGCTGAATTCCTGAGAGGAGACGAAATCCAGGTCTCCTACTCCTCCACCATCTTGCTCCTCCCCCAACATGTAGTTCTGATCCACTCAATATTCAATTCTGAGAGAGACCAACATATGAAAAATACATTAAATGGAATAAGGTGGCTAACTGACCAGAAAAGTGGAATTTTGGGGAAGAGTCTACAATTCAAATATCCTAGCCTGCTGTTGAAACTCATTTTCCAATTTGTGGCTCAGCAGAAGCAGTTACCTTATACACAGTATAAGCAAGATGCTATAGAACCACATAATTTGCTAAATGGTTTGGAACTCTCTTGGCAATGTGGCCACCATCATGACACATGCAGGACTTTTAAATGCATGGCTAACTGTCCATATGTCCCAAGGGAAAGCTGGAGAATCAGAGTATACGCATCATCTTTAATTAATAGACTATACAATGAGCCTCTCTATTTTGGGATTCGTGTTTAGCTCCTTAAACTTACTTCTCCCATAGCTCTCTGAGACATTTATTGCTTTTCTTATATGAGCAGATAAGATTTTTAGTAAAGCCAAAAGATTACAAGTGTTTCTGGAGCCAGATGGTCCTGAATTTGACTCTGGAAACTGCCCCTTACCATCAGCTTACTGTTTACCAGTCCCTCTAGTCTCATGAAGCCTCATCTCTTTGTCAGTTAGAAATAAGAATGATACTTAATGCTGTGGAGCATGGTGAGGATTAGGTAAAACGATGCATGTAAATCTCAGTACTTTGTCTGGCATGGAGTTAGAGCTGCTGAAGTGCTGATTGTTGGAAAGAGCGATGGGTCTTGTAACTTGCAATTATCCTGACGTGGCAGTAGAGGGAGTACCGTTGTTGGAAACTGGACTTGAGTGTACTAACAAGATGGAGATTTAAAGCCATTTGTAGAAGGCGTTGTCTCTGTTCTGCTGGAGCTGGAGGGGCCTGTGTTCAGATGAGCTAAGACCCACGCCAGACCGTCTTGTCCCAATTAGCCTTGCTGTCCTGCTCGTTTGATACTAACATGCACTCCCGTCAAACTCAGTATGTCTTTCTGTATGTACACGTTCCCTTGTCCAACTTCAAACTCTAACTCCCCCTGGTTTTCTTAGGACACATTAGAGAGGAAGCTTGGATGGGACAGGTAAGGTGCTTCCACAAAAATGAAAACGAACAAATGTTTATATTCTTTGTACAAGCCTTGGGAGAAGGCGGAGCTGGCTTACAACCAGCATCAGGGAAAGTGACAGCCCCTTCTCTTCCCTCGCTGACTCCCACCCAAGCAGCTCTGCTTAGACATGGTAGAAAAAGCAGTCAAGAAGGACTGACTGAATCCTCTCTGCCTCTGATCTACAGATGTGAACCTGCCTATCTCAGCTGACCTCTCTTCATCTCCACTTGAAACCCCATCTGTAGAATGAGGAAAGAAGGGAGGAGGGTTAACCGAGTCACTTTCAAAGTTCCTCACGACCTGGTTATTATTATTCTCTTCATAGCAGCTATTACTGAATGTTTGCCCTTATCTCAGTCCTTACATTAGATCTTTGAATCTTCCCAGCAATTTCATGTGGGATGTAATGTCCCCATTTTTACAGAGTTTGAGGCTCAGAGAGGTTCAGTAGCTAATCTGACTTTGTACACCTAGAAAGTGGCATGATCAGAACTAGAATCTGTTTTTCTGCAAGTCTATAATCTGATATTTCCACGTTAAGATGAGACAGAAAAAAAACTAGAAATAGGGATTTAACTAGGGCCAATGGGGCATCAGTTATAGGGGGAGAAGAATCTGTTGTGATCTTTGAGTTTGGTAAACTCAAAGGGATTTCACTTTAACGTGCTTTTCTTTGGTTTTCTTCCTCTTCTCCTTCTTCTCCTTCCTCCTCTTTCTTCTCCACCACCCCCCTCCCCCAACCCCTTCCTTCTTTGTTTTTGACTCTAAGGGACTGATGAAGCCAGGGTCAATGTAGGGCCAAGAAATTGGGACCTGGCTATTTAGACTTGATTCTAAGAAAGAAAAGTGGGCATAGAGATACCTGTTCTTAGAAGCCTGGCTCAGTTCATGAAATAGGAAGGTAGAGTTTTAAGGCAGATGCTTTAACCAAGGAAAAAAATGTTCATTTGAGCACAGATTCCCTCATGATATACCACTGGATAAACTGATTATGGTGGATAAGATATGGTAGACAAAACAGAGGTTTCATAAATGTCTGCGGAATCTGGGAGATAGTCCCCAAGACCTTTTTTAGGAAAAGCCACCTGTCTGTGAAAATAAAACTTTTTAAAAATTTTTTTAAAGATTTTATTTATTTGAGAGAGAGAAAGAGAGAGAGCACAAGCAGGGCCAGGGGCAGAGGGAGAAACAGACACCCCACTGAGCGGGGAGTCAGACATAGGGCTTGGTCCCAGGACGCTGGGATCATGACCTGAGCTGAAGGCAGACACTTAACTGACTGAGCCACCCAGGTGCCTCAAAACTATTTTTATAATAATAATGTTTTGCCTTTTCACTCTGTTGACATTTGCACTGATGGTACCAAAGCAATGGTGGGTAATGTTGGTGCCTCAGGGTGAACAAAGGCAATGATGCCAAATTATTCTAGAAGTCATTGTACTCTTTACCACCACACATTTAAAACTGTTTAAATGCCAGTTTAACTCAATAACGTTCTCAATGAAGCAGGAAAATTAATTTTGTTAAATTTTAAATTAATGTCTCATAATATTCTGTCATAAAATGAGAAGTATACACATTGAGGTATGATGATTGTCTCAAAAAAAAGCACTTGTGTGATTGTCACAAAACATCATTCTTACTTGGAACAATGACTTGACAAACTATGGTTATTCAAAGTTGGGTATCTGGAAGACACTTACCTGAAAACGAACAGGGTGCAACTGTCACTTCAGGAAAAACATTGGCAATGTCTGTTTCCAGTAATAAAATTGGAGTTTTCAAGTAAAAATTAGAATTTGGAAAACCTGCATCCTCCCTCTGAGCTTAACAATTTCCCGATACTTAAGAACACTTTTTTTTTTAAAGATTTTTTATTTTATTATTTGACACAGAGACAGAGATAGTGAGAGAGAGAGCACAAGTAGGCAGAGCGGCAGGCAGAGGGAAAGGGAGAAGCAGGCTTCCCGCGGAACAAGGAGCCCACAAGGATGTGGGGCTTGATCCCAGGACCCTGGGATCATGACCTGAGCTGAAGGCAGACACTTAATGACTGAGCCCCCCGGCACCCCTAAAAATACTTTTCTAATGAGATCCGTGGTGATATTAGCTAATATGATTTTCTGATTTGTATGATAAAGTGTGTCAGCATTTAGAAGACCTGCGTAATTTAGTGGATTCATAGTTTTCCAAAAAACCAATATGTGATATTACAAAATCATGTGTGAGTAAAATTTCCATTTAAAATACAAGATATGCCAACAGATTTTAATGTAACAGTATATTTAAAGCTTGCTGATGGAGTTTCACATTCCACAGTGCGCCAACCCTTAAAAAACTACCACTTATTGAGTTTTGTTGTCGCATCAAAGAAGGATAGCCACATTATCTGCAAAGGCTATTAAAATGCTCTTCCTTTTCCAATTACGTATCTGTGCGAGTCCAGATTTTCTTCAAATACTTCAACCAAAACAATTGCAAAAGATAAAATGCAGAAGCAGATATAAGAATCCAGCCGTCTTTTCCCAACCTATACATTAGAGGTTTTTAAAAATGTAAATCTATGCCACTCGTTCTCACTAATTTTTTTAATTTTTTAAAAAATGTAACAAAAAATTTTTTTAAAGATTTTATTTACTTAAGTAATCTCTATATCTAACGTGGGGCTCAAATTCACAACCCTGAGATCAAGAGTCACATGCTCCACCAACTGAGCCAGCCAGGTGCCCCCTCACTCATTTTTTTATATTAGAAATATACTTGTTTTTCATTAAAAAATGTTTATTTTAACACATAATGGGTTTATTCTTATATTTTTTAATGAGTGAGTATTTTAATTTTTTCCCTCAGATTTAGTTTTAATACTGTAAATATGAATTTAATACAGAATAGTAGTACACAAAAATTCTTTGGAGCTGTCAACAATTTTTAAGAGGATAAAGGTGTCATGAGATCAGTTTGAAAACTGCCGAGGGAGTCCCGAGGTGAGGTCCTTAAAAGGAAGAAGAGAAAGAAGTCTCTGCTTTGTATAGCAGGCACTCAACAGTTGAGTATAACGATGATAAAGACAGGCCAAACCAGTATGACTAACACTAGAAGGCAGGAAGTGAAAAGTGCTAAATGAGTGGTCTAGATCTGTGCTAATAGGGTAGCCACCAGCCACATGAGGCTATTAAACTTTTGAAATGTGGCTAGTCCAAATGGAGATTTCCTGAAAGTGCCAATTACACTCCAGACTTCAGAGATTTGGTATGAAATAAGGAATGCAAAGCATCTCATTAAAAATTTTTATATGGATTAGATGCTGACATGTTAATATTCTGCATTATTGGATTATTTATAGCATTGAAATTAATTTTGCCTGTTCCTTTTACCTTTTTTAATGTGGCTACTAGAAAATTTAAGCATGTGGCTTGCATTTTATTTTTCTTGGACAGCACTCATTTGGATGGGAAGTGTGATGAGAATTCAGAGCAGGAAAAAGTTGCTGTGGGTTGAAGTCATCAGTGAAATCTTCACCAAGGATAAGGATTTCAAAAAAATTAAAAAAGACAAACCAAAAAACAGACTCTTAACTATAGAGAACAAACAGAGGGTTACCAGAGGGGAGGTGGGTGGGGAGATGGGTGAAATAGAGGAAGGGGATTAAGAATACACTTATCTTAATGAGCACTGAGTAACATATGGACTTGTTGTCTTGTTGAATCACTATATTGTACATCTGAAACTAATGTAATGCTGTATGTTAACTACACTGGAATTAAAATTAAATTAAATTTAGAAACAAGAGGGATAGGATTTCAGTAAGTAGACAGATGGGGGGGAGGAAGCTGCAGTTGAAGGGAGCATCAATACTGAAATAGGAGAGTTCATCTAGGGAGCAGAACAGATTGGTCTGCCTCAGATCTTGGGCTCCTGGGTAAGGAGTGTGTGTGTGTGTGTGGAGGGGGGGATGAGGGGAGATTCCAGGATAGGTTGGGGCCAGAGTGTACAGAATTTTGAGTGCCAAGAATTTGTGGACTTTTTCAGGACAGATTGCTTCCCCAGAGAAAACCAGACTCTGCCCCATAGCTTATGGGATAACCCAAATTAGGCATTTTCTTCAGGTGGAGACAGAGTAGCAGAAGCTTCTGGAAACTGCCCAGTGAGCAAGCAGCCAAGACTAGGCCTGCCTGACCAGGGAATAGAGTGATGCGGAGTGTGACTCTGGAGTGGACCGACTTATTTTTGTGTGTGCGGGAGGGACAGGGGTGGTGAATTTAAGCACGTGATTGTGCTAATAATGTCAGGAGGGAGAGGGAACCCCGGGTAAGTGTACCCGCTTGATGACTGATCTGAGAGTGGGAAAGCAGACCTTTACCTTAGTGTATTGCTGAAGACTCATGCATAAACAAATTGAGTCATTCTTTCTGCCTCATTCAGTCTATCTTCCTTTATTTTTATCTTTATTTTCCTGAATATTTAGTAGAACTTGTGTGTCGAGGGTTAACATCTAGCTTGGAAGAGATGAAGTCAAAAACCACCAGGGAGGGTGTGCAAACCCCTGGCCTCTTATCCAGGGTCAGAAGCTAACTCGTTGAGTAACTCCGGTCACCTCTCTGGGCCTCAGTCTCTTCAGATACGAAAGAGGCATTAGAATCAGATGAGACCAAGGCTCCCTCCAGCTCTGTGATTCTAGAATAGGCCCATGTCACAAAGGGAGAAAAGCATCCCATAGCAACCAGGTACAGGGCTACTGGGCAGGTGGGAAGGAGGATGCTGGGCTAGTAAGGGCAGGCGTGAGTAGCCCGCACAGGAGCTGGCCCGAACCTTTGGGTGAGGCTGTCCTCCTCCTAGTGAGCAGACCCTGCTGGAATTGGAGCCCAGTGAGATCTAAGAGTTTGAGATCTAAGATCTATTTTGGTCCTGGCATCCCTATCCCTCCCAGGGGCTGGCTCACCAGGGTGAGTGGAGCCTGAAAGGAGGAAGCCAGGAATTTACCTCTAGGCAAGTAAAGAGACTTACTTGGGGGGCGGAGAGGGGGGTGGGGGTTGTCTCAGATTATCTGGGAAACCACTGAAGAAAAGTGTGTGTAGCCCCCACCTACCCACCCACCTCCTGACGCCCCTGGGCCCCCCGCAGTTACAGGAGTGATTGGTGGGGATGAGGAGAGGGCGCCCTGCAAAGGGGCTTCGGCCTGATTGTCTCTGCTCTTTAGCATTTCTAGAATAGAGAGTGGGTGGGACCCGACTCAAGTAAAGTCCCAGAGACGCTAACACTGACGCACAGGAAAGCCTCAAGTGGGAGGAGAGATGCAAATCCCCTACTGACAATGGCGTCAGCGGCTTTGTCCTGGGGACTGTGAAGGGCGATTCTGACTCTGGACTTGACACCAACCTGGGACCTGGGCTGAGAGAGCCAGGTAAGTAGGCAGAGTACACCTTCGTGTTGCTTCTCCGGAGGAGCACGGGCCAGGAAGTACTTATGCAGGATGCGGCTGAGGCTGTGCTCTTCACTCGGTGCTATGACAGTCGCTTCACTTTAGCTGGTGTGAGGATGAGTGATTCGACACAGCGTCCGACTTGATGATCCAGAGACGCGCTCGGGCGCAGGTCTCTCGGTGAGACTCGGGGGCTCAGCCCCCACATCTGCCCGGTGGGAGGGACACTTGTGGCTGATGCGGAGGTGTGTCCTTGGGAAGTGCTGAAAGTGAGCCCCTCTTCACTTTCTTAGCTTCTCTGAGCTACAGTGCCTGACTTTAGATTGAGTACCTGGCTTTCAGAAACAAGTCCGGAGCCGGGGTAGCCAGTGGCTGTGGCTTTGATGAGAGGGAGTGGTATTTTAGGGCATATCATCTCCATTGCAAGCTGCGTGTCCCAGAGCCAGCGTGGCACTCTCAGCTCCCAGACAGCGTGACAAAATGCCCCTTTATTTAGGGGCATTATTTAGGGGCATTATATTAGGACATTCAAAGAGAATAGACAGGCACTCAATTTTCAGAAGAAATATTCCATAGTTTTCTTGTGATGGGAGAATGAGCCCTTAGAGAGTGAGAGCCAAGAAGGGAGCTAAGGATGACTAAAGGCATTTCTAGAGGCTTCAACAGAGAAGAGGGTCCTTGGACTATACACCTTATCCTTCCCATCTTCAGCCTTAAGTTCAGCTCTCTGGAAGGTGGACCCAGGTCCTAGGAGTAATTTATCTAACTTTGGGACAAGTTAAGCCCAGTTAATTCTTAGTTAGAAAACAGATTTTCACCCAAATCATAGCAAGGATTTAAGAAAAGTAGTATTGACGATCGTAATGGCATTTTCAGCTCATGTTCTCTCACCGTTATCTAGAATAAGTTGACAGGGATATAGCAGGACAATGTCATTATAGCATGGGAACAAATGTTCCAAGTCTGTGATATATATATATCTATATATATCTCCAGCATCTGCAAAGACAACTGTGTCTGGTTTCAGGAGACCTCAGATCGGTCCTTAGGAGCTGTGCATCTTAGGTAGGAGTCATTTTGCTTACTTGTCCCTCAGATTTTTTTTTTTTTTCATTTTTAAAGTTGGAGTAAAACTTACTCTCCACTTGCCCTATTCACAACCACATCAGAATTGCCACTCATTTAACAAGCACTTACTGAGACACTCACAATATACCTAGAATGGTGCGTGTAAAGGTCTTCAAGATATTAAGTGATATGAAAATAAAACATTATTTCTTTTCCTGGTTCCTTTCTTTTAGCAAAACATCCCTCTATTGATTTAGATCAGGGAAAAGGTGCCCCAGAATGGTTCCATTTGAAAACTGAGGAATCCATATATGAAATATATGAAATCTGTTATCATGACCTTCTGTAGGCAAAAGGAAATCTTAACTTGCCTACAAGATAGACTGAGATATTATGGTGATTAATCATGTAAAAGTTTTGTTCCTTTATCTAAAATTGCTGATAAAACTCTCAGAACTTTGACTTTGGAAAAAGTAAAATACTGTAACTTCAAGATGTCGTATTGATCTCCCTGAGTTAGGCAATGTTTAAAGCTTCTAAATTGGTGAGAATAGGATAACGTGGGGGAAACACATACTTTTGTTTTGTGAGAGGCTGCCAAATACATATCTAGTGTGGTTTCTTCCTCAATTAACCTGAGGGTTTAACCACTGTCAGTTGCATACCAGAGACTAATTAAAAGTTGACTTGAAAAGCTCTGCCTAGTCATAGTGGATCATCATACGGAGAAATATAAATATGTATTGATTCAGAGATATTTTGAACTGAAAGAATTAGAGCCCACAAAAATGCATACATGAAACTCTTCATAAAGCTAAGACCAAATTTTTTTTTTTAAAGCTTTTATTTATTTATTTGAGAGAGAGCACATGAGAGGGGGGAGGGTGAGAGGGAGAAGCAGACTCCCTGCTGAGCAGGGAGCCCGATGTGGGACTCGATCCCAGGACTCCAGGATCATGACCCGAGCCGAAGGCAGTCGCTTAACCAACTGAGCCACCCAGGCGCCCCAAGCTAAGACCAAATTTGACCAGAGGTCTAGGAATATAAGTATGACTCTGGAAGCCAGACAAATCTGAAATAAAGAAAAAAGGATTGGGCAGTTTGACATACAAGAAGCTTTTATTGGGTGCTCCTCATACAGAAAGTCTAAAGAGGTCTGAGAAGGTGCAGTTGAGTATGTTTGCCTTCAGGTTGCTCAAAGTCAAGAGTGCAGATGGAGCAAGGGATAGGAAAGGAATTTGTTGAGAACACAGATTTGTGTGATAGATTGGAGCTGTTGAGGGGGAGTGAAAGCTTTCTGGAGAAAGTTCCGGAGTTCCTATTAGAGCAAAGCAGGACATGGTTTGGGGATAGAGAACTTTTTTTTCTTTATAAGGGATGACTTAGGAAAAAGCTCAAAATTTTTATCTTTGGATTGAAAGCATTTCTCTTTACTGTTTTCTTATATAAGGTGACTATAAAAGAAAAATTTTTTCAGTTACTTAACTAATGGAAAACATTGTCTTTGAAACCTAAGAGAGGGGTGTGGCTCAGTCAGTTAAGTGTCTGCCTTCAGCTCAGGTCATGATCCCAAGGTCCTGGGATCAAGCCCCACATCAGGCTCCCTGCTCAGCGGGAAATCTGCTTCTCCCTCTTCCTCTGCCTCTTTCCTGCTTGTGCTCACTCGTGCTCTCTCTCTCGCTCTTGCTCACTCTCTCTCAAATAAATAAATAAATAAATAAAATCTTTAAAAAAAAATCTAAGGGAAAAAAACATGTACCACAGTTATTAACATTATTTTTAAACTCTAATTTTACCTCTTCATTTATAGCATGTCTCAGTGGAATCAAGTCCAACAATTAGAAATCAAATTTTTGGAGCAAGTAGATCAATTCTACGATGACAACTTTCCTATGGAAATTCGACATCTGTTGGCTCAGTGGATTGAAAATCAAGACTGGTAGGATCAAACATTATTGTATTTTCCCTAGAGGTTGATGTACAAATGCGTTATGCTCTATCCCTGTGGATTTATTCTGTGATCTGCTTTTGACTGAGTAGGTGACTTCTTGCAGATAAAGAATTTTCTTCAAGGATTTGGAAAGCTTCTTCGAAGGAAGAGAATCATTGTTCTTTCTGGTTGTAGATGAAAACTTAAGGCTTCTAGTGCCTTGGTTTTTTCGTAAGCCCAAATCCCAGTAATTTCTAAATATTAAAAAGCCAAGAAGTACACCTGTTGTTTATCTCAATTTTCAGTTTACAGATGCAGTATAATTATTTTTTCTTATTATGTTTTATAATCATTCTTTAAAGCTCTGTTTATCATGCACAATAATTTTTTTGCTTTGAATAATCCTCTAACTTTTTATTGTGATAAAATATATGTGACATAACATATGCCATTTTAACCATTTGTAGATATATGGTTTAGTGGCATCAAGTATATTTACACTGCTGTGCAATCACCACTGTCCATCTCCAGAATTTTTTCATCTTCCCATAATGAAACTCTGTCCTCATTAACCAATAGCTCTTCACTCTCTGTACCCCAGACCTGGCAACCACCATTCTATTTTCTGTCTCTCTGAATACGACTCTAGGTACTTCATGTAAATGGAATCACACAGTATTTGTGTTTTTGCGGCTGATGTATTTCCCTTACCATATTTTTTTCAAGGTTCATTCATGTAGCATGTATCAGAATTTCCTTCTCTTTTTAAGGCTGAATGATAGTCTATTGTAGATGTGTGCCACATTTTGTTTATTCATCTGCCAGTTACCACTGGAGTTGTGTCTACCTTTTGGGTATTGTGAACAAAGCTAATATGAACATTGATGTACAAATATCCATTCAAGGTCCTGCTTTCAATTCTTTTGAGTATCTACCCAGAAGTGGAATTGCTGTGTGTAATTCTCTGCTTATATTTTGAAAAATCTCCATCCTGTTTTCCACAGCGGCTGTACCATTTTCCATTCCCACCAGCAGTGCACAAGGGTCCCAGTCTCTCCATACCCTCACCAACACTTATTATTTGGGGTTTTCAGTAATAGCCATCCTAATAGGTATGAAGTGGTAGCTCATGTTTTGATTTCCCTAATGATTAGCATCTACTTTGATGTGTACAGTTTAATTTGTAAAAGCCTTTAAATGCTTGTCCCTGTGGAATAGATTGATCTCTTTTAAAATTAGTATGGTAAAAAAGTAGACATTCTACTAAGTTGTTTCCTGCTATGTAATAACAGTTTTGTTTTTTAGGGAGGCAGCTTCCAACAATGAAACCATGGCAACAATTCTTCTTCAAAACTTGTTAATACAACTGGATGAACAGTTAGGTCGTGTTTCCAAAGAGAAAAACCTGCTCTTGATACACAATCTAAAAAGAATCAGGAAAGTCCTTCAGGTGAGAATGCATTCTACTTTTTCAAAAATGTTTGGATTTATGTGTCTTAAATTCAGCGAAAAAATCAAATCTGTACCCTTAATATTATTTTCAGTTCAGATTTAAGAAGGGAAATTTGAATTCTCTTATCATTTTAAATTTTATGCTCTATTTTATTTTATTAATGTTTGTTTTTCATGAAATTTTGAATCTGAAATATACTGTAAGTGGGAGGGTGTGTGTGATTTGCATATGACTATTCACTAGTTATGTTCAAAGTTGACAATGCTAGAACAGGGATTTCAAAGATAATAGGTTCATGGCTATCCCCCAGTCCTCTCTTGCCTTTCTCTCTCATGTAACAATTTAGTTAGTATTGTTTTCCCATTTGTAGATAGAGGCATCATGGTTGTATGTATCCTTCCAGAGTTGGTTCACAACTTACTTCCTCCAAAAGCATTCCTTGGTACTCACTAGCCCCTAGCTCTAGGTCTCTAGCCTCTAGCTCTCCAAAGTTTTGCCCAGGCAAAGCTCTTCCGTCTGTGGTCTGGGTTCTCACAACACCTGCAACACATCTGTACCATGGCACTTAGTATATTCTTCATCAGTGGGATTTCTGTGTGTTTGTCTTCTCCCCAAAACTGTGGACTTTAGTATTCAGCTTTGAATTCCCAGTGCCTACCATAAGACTGGATATAGTAGATGTGTAATATTCATTGATTACAGGGATGAATGAATGAATGTAGTGAAACAAGTATCTAAAGAATTAAGGGCAGGCTAATACTGAGTTAAACTCAGAGGTGCTAACATACATAACGAACTCTGAACGTGAGCTGCTATAATATTTCCTGAGTGTCTATACAATGTATTAGACAACATGAAAAATGCATGTGCCATTTCTCAGTGAGGCATTCTTAAAATCCCAAAGTTACAATGAATACATTTTTAGAAAATTTTACCTAGACTATAATAGAAATGTGCTGGAAGTAACTAACACTTGTGGGAGGAGCATGTATATTGTTTTTCCTATTGTATGGATTGCACTGAGCCATCTTTGCCCTTGTAATCCCTTACAGGTTTGCAAAACATGTGGCCCAGGTAGGAAAATAGCTTGTTGCCAACAAAACAGGATTTTTCACAACATAAAGCAAGCAGTCTCTACAGAGATAAGACATTTAACCTTGGCTTTATTAGCTTAGGGCTCCAATCAATAAACCTAAAACAGGGGTGGGCATATTGCTACTCACAAGTCAAACGTGAGTAAGCCCCTGCCTGTTTTGAGGGCCCTTGACTAAGAATGGTTGTTACAGTTTTAGGTGGTTGAAAAAGAATAAAAATAAAATAAATACGTTTGTGACATGAAAATTCCATGAAATTCAAATTTTTGTATTTTTAGTGAACACAGCCATGCCCATTCATTTACATATTGACTCACTGCAGTGACAGAGATTGGCCCCCAAAACGTAAAATAAAAATTTGTGTATGTGTGTGTATCATTCGTATTTATCTGGCCTAGAAGCAAAGGTCCTACAGGTCACTTGGCTAAAGGGACACAGATGGATAAAATGAATGATGCACGGTATTTGGAAATTCTGAAATTTGAAATTCTCAAAATGTGACCTTGGGCAATCACTTAATCTTTCTGAATGCTCACATCTTTTCATGTAAATGAGGATAATCCTTATTTACTTTTGGGGATTGTAAAGAAGACTGGAGTTTTTGTTCTGGCAAAAAAAATAGGCTTCTAATAAATGGTTTTTGTTGTTGGTGGGGAAAAGAACAGGATTTTCTTAGGAGAAATCAAGGGTAAATTTACAGCCCATTTGGGGGGAGGTGGAGATAAGATTTTGAGGGAGTTCAAGAACCTGCAGTAACTCTCATTCACATTTCAACTCAAGCAAAAACTCTTCTGTATTTGTCACTGGCGCTCCAACATCTTATCTCTGTAGACCCCTCCCAACAAACTGCCCCAAGCTCCTCACATCCCTGCCCCAGAAAAATAGATCTTCTTATTCCCAAACATACCAAACTCACTCTTCAAAGACTCTGAGCCTCTTCCCATGGCTAAGAATGCAATGCCATCCCTCTCACTCCAGCCCAGTTCCCAGTCATTCCTGGAGGACCTGTGGATGTCCCAGTGCGTCAAGGAAATCTTCACCCTCATCCTTCATGGAGCACAGGTTGCAAGATAACCAGCATCTCCTCTGTGCTGAATGTGTCTAAGCAGGTCACAAGCTCTTTGAAGTAAAAGCCTGACCTCCTTTTTTGACCTCCCTGCTCCCTCCAGTACCCACTGTGGTTCTCCTACAAACTAGGAACTCAAAAAACAGTTTGGTTGGTTAAGATATTTTGAACTGACAAAACACTTGCTCTTTCCTTCATTTTATAAGCTATACTTTTTGAGTATTTGTATTAATTCAGAATACAGTAAAAAATAGTAATAGAGAACATTGTCAACTATGGTTATAGACCTAAACAAACCTGCATTTTATGTTTCTTTTTAATATGTCATATTCCCATTATTGTTTATTTTTGGTTTTTTTTTGACAAGTCTTTTTGATAAAACAACACCCCCTGCTTCCCCAAGAATTAAAAGAGAAAAAAAACCTCCTATCAAAAGACTGTTGACATCGTGCTTATCCTGTTTGAACGTTTTCATCCTGAGATTTTAAATGCAATCCATGTTAACTATTATAGCAAAAAAGAGCAAACGATACAGTTCCAGGGGAATTAAACCGGTGTAAGGCAGATTTATTTTAGTTCTTTACAGAGCAGCTGAGTTCTCCAGTTTCAATATTGTAATTTACTCTGAGGTGGGAAGCAGGTGAACACTGATGTCCAGCTCACCTTTGCCCCTTTACGGGGAGGCAGCTTCAGGTCAAGGCCAGGAGTAAGGACTGCCACAGGCTGAATCCTGGCTCTGGGATGCACTTGCTGTATAGCCCAGGGCAAGATGTTTACACCCTCTGGCCTCAGTTTCCTCAGCAGTGGGAGCAGAATCACACTCGTTCGTACCCCAGGGGTGTTAGAAGCATTAAAAAATTCTGAAGAATGTGGTAAGCTTAGGATTTGCTAAAAAGAAATACCTGCCCTAGATATTTCAAGAATGCTTTGCCCTGTTCCTGGGCCTTTTTTTTTTTAACCAATAGACTATATTTTAGAGCAGTTTTGGATTTATAGAAAAGTTGAGCAGAAGGTACAGAAAGTTCCCTTCTACTCCCTCTCTACCTGCCCCTCCCCAGTGTCCCCTATTAGAAACATCTTGCATTGCTGTAGTACATCTTTTACAATTGATGAACCTGTTGTGATAATGCTATTATTAACTTATGGTCCAAGATTATATGAGGGTTTACTCTCTGTGCTGTCCAAATCATATATCCACCATTTCAGTTTCACTGCCCTAAAATCTCCTCTGCTCTACTAGTTCATCCTTCCTTTCCTTACCCCAAACTTCTGGCAACCACTGATCTTTTTACTTTTTCTTTGTCCTGCATTTTCCAGACTGTCATATGGAATCATATAGTCTGGAGACTTTTCAGATGGCTTCTTTCACTTAGTAATATGCTTTTAAGCATGTCTTTTTGTAACTTGAGAGCTCATTTCTCATTATTGCTGAACAATATTCCCTTGTATGGATGTACTATAGTTTGTTGATCAATTTTTGGCAATTATGAATAAAACTGATATTAACATTCATGTGGAAATTTTGGGGTGGGCAGGAGTTTTCAACCCATTTGGGTAAATACCCAAGAGATTGATTGCTGGATCTTTGTTCTTGGGCTTTCTATCACAAGCCTCTTTTCCTACTTATTCATCTTCCTCACTGTATCTTTGCCTGCTCAGGCTGCTATAACTGAAATATAATTAATTGAGTGGATTTGAAATAACAGACATTTATTTCTCACAGTTCTGGAATCAAGGAAGTTCAAGGTGCTGGCAGATTGGGTGTCTGATTCAGCTTCCTGGTTCAGAGACAGCTGCCTTTTCACTGGACCTCACATGGCCCAGTGGGGAGGGAACTCTCTAGGTTTTCTTTTCTTTTTTTTTTTTTAATTTAATTTTATTATGTTTGTTAGTCACCATAAAATACATCATTAGTTTTTGATGTAGTGATCCACGATTCATTGTTTTTGCATAACACCCAGTGCTCCATGCAGTTTGTGCCCTTCTTAATACCCATCACCGGGCTAACCCATCCCCCCACCCCACCCCCCTAAAACCTTCAGTTTGTTTCTCAGAGTCCATAGTCTCTCATGGTTCATCTCTCCCTCCGACTTCCCCCCCTTCATTTTTCCCTTCCTTCTCCTAATCTCTAGGTTTTCTTCTATAAAGATGCTAATCCCATTCATGAGGGCTCTACCCTTATGACTTAATCACCTCCCAGAGGCTCCACCTCTTAATAGCATCACATTAGGGGTTAGGACTTCAACATATGAATTAAGGAGACACAAATATGCAATCCATAAGAAACTTCCTCTCTATCTTTCTTCCTCAGAATGACATTTAAAAAATTAAAGTGGGGGCACCTTGGTGGCTCAGTCGGTTAAGCGTCTGACTCTTGATTTTGGCTCAGGTCATGGGCTCAAGCTCCATGTTGTGGAGCCTGCTTAAGATTTTCTCTCTCTCTGTCCCTCCCTCCCCATGTGTGTATGTGTGTATTCTCTCTCTAAAAAAAAAAATTAAAATGGTGCTTATTCATAATAAAAAATTAAAGTAATACAGAAAAAAATGCAAAAAAAAAGTGAGATAATCCAAAATCTACTCCTACATATAACCACATTAATATTTGATGAGTGTCATTCCAGACATCTATACATACATATGTGGATAGAAGGCTGCCTGTTGACACTTTGTACGCAGTGGTTACCAGAATTTTAGAAGTCTCCTGTGCCCCCTCTCCAACTCCACTCTGCTTTCTTCCCAACCAGAGTAACCACTAATCTAAATTTTGCATTTACCAGTCTCTTCCTTTTTGTTACAGTTTTACCAAATATGTCGGCATCCCTAGAAAACATAGTGTA